CAAATTTTAATGACAATAATTTATATTAATTTATTTTCAATACTTAAATATTTATTGACGTAATAATTTAAATTTTTTTATTTTATATTCAAATTCAAATTACAGAGATGATTTAAATGCTTTTATGGAGCAATCTGGTGCAGCATCACCTGGTGTGTTAGTTTTAATAACAGGATTGAGCAAACCATTTCGAAGATTGCATAAATATTCAGCTATGCTGCAAGAACTAGAAAGACACATGGAATTATCAGACCCAGATCGGGGCGATACTCAGAGGGGTGTAGCTGTATATAAAGACATTGATGTGAGTTTTAGATCCCAAATCAAATTTATAAAGAACCAGTATGAATTTTATTTTTTAATTTGTTCACAGCATGTAACATGATATATGAACATGTTTTAATGCCTTTAGTGATTTAATTTTTTGAATTTTTGAATATGAAATCAATTGTTTGAAATTTGCAGAGCGTGTGCAGTGCAACTCGAAAGCAGAAAGAGCTTCAATTACAAGTATTAACAGGGCCAGTTAGAGGTTGGCAAGGTCAACCTGTTACATCATTAGGTGATATAATACATATGAGTTGTGTTTCAGTAGGGCCAGATCAAAAAGATAGGTAAATATTTTATTTTCTGAACTATGACTTGATTAACATTGCTATTATTTTAAATATTTTGTGTTTGCTTAGGTTTTTAGTATTGTTTCCCTCAACGATATTGTTTTTAAGTGTCAGTCAGAGAATGAGTGCTTTTATTTATGAGGTAAATTATTATATATTTTTTTATATATATATATATATATTTGTTTTCGTTGTACAAATTAAATTGTATATAAATATAATTATATTTAGGGCAAGCTACCACTAGCTGGAAAAACAATTACTAGAATTGATGATTCAGAATTTTATAAAAATGTTTTTGAAATTGATGGTCCGCTTATTGAAAAAATTATGGTGACATGTAAAAGTTCAGGAGAAGCTGATAAATGGGTATGCACTTTTATATATATATATATATATATATATATATATATATATATATATATATATATTATATATATATATATATATATATATATATATATATATTAAGTCTGTGTTTTTTTAGGTGGAACTTCTGAATGCTCACGGATCTTCTGTGAAATGCTTACCTCCTTCCGCAAGTTCTTTGAGCATAACACCTAAACCACCACATGTAAGTTTTTATATATATTGTTTATAGCATATTCAATTTTATTTTTAGTAATTTATCTATTTCATTTATATGGAGTAATAAAATTAATATTAAAATACCATGCTCTGTACACGTACCAATGTTACTTGACAGTGTTATGCATAGAGACCATTAGTACCTTATTTATATGGTGTATCTATGTTATGATTAATTTTATAATTTTTGTATTATATAACTGTAATTTGACATTTGTATTTATGGCTAGAAAAATCAGGAGTATGTATGTAGCACACCTTTAGATTTTTTTTATGTAAAAATCGCTCCATTGTTTTTTCTTGTGTAAATTATTATTACTAATATTATTATCTAATTATATTTTACCTTTGTAGAAATAATAATTTTTATATGAAGATGATATTGCGCTAATTATATATATATATTCCTAAAACAATTGAGGAGTTGGTGACCATCCCAAATACACCTGATATTTTTAAAATGTTTTGATATTGTCTCCAATTAGTTTACATACTGCGTACTTTTTATCTTCATGCTATTTTACTTCAACTTTTCATTACATAAATGAAATTGACCCCATAGACCCCCTGGGTTTTCATAAAACATGTAAGAACTTTAGAGCCAGAGCCAAAGCTTTCCTGTCATTTAACAACAGATATAAATATTATGTTTATTCCAGTCTAGAAACATTATTTTGTGAAAAACTCATTATATTCTCACTGTATCTCAGTTTGTCCTGATTTGTGGAGCTCACTTTGGTTGCCAACTCCTCAATTTTGTTTGATACTTCACTTGTAAAGTCTTAAATTTTGAAAAGGATTGATGAATGATTTTTCTGTTTAGAATGTTCAAATGAATATCGTAGTTTTAAACTTTTTCCCAAAATTTACATCAATTGATTTTATTTGAACCATATATGCATTTCCAAGTTCAAATGAATCGACTTAAGTGCTAAGTAAGTCTATTCTACAATAAGTTTTCTTATAAAATTATTTTTAAAGCTCAATTTTCGTGGTTACTCCAACCGATCATCAATACTACGTTTCCAAGAATCGACTTCTTACAAACTTACTTTACCGCCGTTCACATATCCTTCGACTGCACCTTATGCTCTACTCACCGCCTGCCTTGCAAGATTTGCAAAGAAGAAAATCATAAATAAGGCGCTTTTAAAAGTATTGCTTTACCCTGAATGCGATATAATTCATGATACGAGTTTTGTCAAGAGAAGAAAGCATTTCAGGACGGAATGCCATATCAATCGTGAGAGTAGTTCGTCCTACGATAGTACAAGTGATAGCAGTTTTCTCACTAGCGATGATGAGAATTTTATAAATACTTTAAATAGAAGAAATTTAGAACGACAAGATGCTGTGGACAAAGCATCATCAGGAAGTTGTGATAGTAATCCTTTTGAGTATATTAAATATTTTGTTCGCGAAGGAGAGGAACAAGATATTAATAGCTTTGTTGATCATGGTCAGGCATTAGAGTTTGGTGATAATAGCTGTGTAACCAATGGTGTTCAAATAACAGATCTTGATGACGACGAGTTTCTCCTTACGAACCAAACCGAACCCACGCAGAAGCTATTAGGGACTTTCAAACAAACTTCAGAAAGTTCTGAAAATTCTAGTTTTGATCATTTTACGAAGCCATATATGGCGTGCGAAGACTTAGTTAATATTGATGAAAATGCTGTGATATGTGATTCTCTTGGAGTATTGAAGAAACAAGATTTTAGTGTTGATAAAATGCGTCATAGCATGCCAAGTCAACTCGTCGCTAATAGGTTCAATGTTTGCCCAAATACTAGAGTTTGTATACCTTCCTGGCAATGTTCTGATTCTGATGAACATGATAGGTATGAGAAAGTTAGCTCAATGCCAGAAGTGGACGCAAATGAATTTGACAAAGAAGATTCTAGTGTGAGTCATTCGTCAAGCTTAGATATTCCAATTAATGTGATTCCCGTACCAAATAAGGTTCTTGCTGAACTTTTGTATAATCCAGGTGGAAGTAATGAATCAGTAATTCGTCCTCCCACAATGTTTCAAACTGACGACATCCCATTTCGCAAACATTCTATAAACTCGGATAAACAAATGCGCACATCGGTCAATAAGGACAGTAGGAAGTTAACATCTGGTACTTCCAGTGTGGATTTAGAACCTCAAGAAATGAAACGAAAAAGTCTTCGCAGATGTGTGAGCCATCAATATTTAGAGTTACTTAACAAATCAGTAGACTTTTCGGAATTTAACAAAACGGATCCGAGTTTCAAAAACATATGCACTTGCTGTAATGCTTCGCAATGTCATAGCCCAAGATCTTCGGATTCAGGAATGGCTGGTAGTTGTACTATAACCACGTCTGATCAGCCTAATGGATTTTTGTTTACACCTGATTTTCAACAGATCACTGAAGCTTCTTTAGATTCGTACAAATTTGAAGATATGATACCGTGCACGACTTCTTTTCCCATGGGTCCCACGATAATTCCAGAAGACAATATTTATGCACAGAAGAAAAAATTATCAGAAAGACCAAAGTTGGGAAGCTCTTCTTCTGCTTCATCATGCCGTAATCTTAGCAATTGCGAAGTTAAGGATAATAATGCCACCAAAGAAATTGGAGAACAAAGACTAAAATTTTCAAACAATGAACTTAAGCATTCTTCATCTTTGCACAACATTACATTAAGAAATAATTTATACATAGCACCTAATGATGATGACCGAGAACTGGTGAAAGATCCAATGAATTTGGAAGGAAGAGATGGTAGAAGTCAAAGCGAAGAAAGAGCAGCATTTGCTGATGTTTCTGATACCAGACAAGTATTCAGAACTGGATTGTACGCGCACTGGTGGCTTAAAGCTCCTCTGTCAATAGCGGCTTTGAAAGATGTTGCTGGTATCTCAGGCAAGGCAACGGTTTCTGCAATAGTTTGGAGTTGATTGTCCTAATTTTGAAGTTTTTTTTTTTTTAGCAAATATATAATATGCTTTTCTATGTTCAAGAATGTTTTTGAGGATAACTAAAAGTTACATTTGGACTTTTCTGTTTATTTGTTATAATAATATCTATAAAAGACTATTAATTTTTGAAAAGCATTTTTTATATTACGACATAATAGATTGGCTTCATTTTTGTGAATCGTAGGACTTTTGCCTTGCCTGTAGTATATCACTGTCATCTACTAATACAAGACTGGATAATATATACATACTTCTTCTGAAATCATGTAACAAAATTCTACTAACAAGCAAATTGTTATATGTTAATAGCAAAATAATTCTCTTTAACAATTAAAATCTTTCTCGTTGTACATGCATAGGGCATGGGAATAAATGCATATAATAACATACCAAAATTAACACAGTTTCAACAGATTGTCAACTGTGTAAAGGATAATTGACAAATATTTTAAATTAAAAAACACTTGACCATTTGTTGGAACTGGTTTACCACAATTTTATAAAATACCGTTTGTTTTTTGATTGATGTGGATATTTGAATGCTAGTTATCTAACAAATCTTGAGAATATTAAAATATGAAAAATATCTGTTCTTTTAAAACGTGCATGTCTGAAAATAGCAACATATTTTTTCCTATTCATTTGAACTATTCTGAAATTTCAATCAATAATTTAGTATTCATGTATAATATTGGATCATCAATATCATGATATATTCGATTATGTACATATATTTGCATATTTACATTTATTCATGATCAATATTAATTGAGCAGAATCTATTATTATATAATATATAATAGCACATATTTAGTGTGAAATATTATAATATTCTAAAATCTAATCTAGGTAACAAATGTGACAAAATTGGATGTGTGGAAATAATTATAGTAGTGGATTGATTAAAGAATTTTTACCAATTTATTGATATTAAAATATTTAAATTTTAATTGATACATTATCGAAAATTATGTTTTAGTAATTTTATTACTGCTACAACTAATTAATTGATTTTATAATTTTTTTCTTATTTTTCTAGATGCCACCTCTCACTCCACAAAGTAGTTCAAGTAGATGTTTTGCTCCAGCCAAATCTCCTCCAGCAAAGTCTCCAGATTTACCTATGTATCAACAGAGATCTCATTCATTTAATCATCATCAAAGTTTTACACAGTATGCAAACGAAACTAAACCGCCGATCAACAATCAGAATAAAAATTTATCAGGTAAAATTATGAACATAAATTAAATGAATAACATCATAGGTAGATTTTCATTTTCATTGATAGATTTCTATTAGAATGGATGTCATTTATACATAAATTATATATTAACTATAATTTTTTTTCATTTTAAGTTATTCTTCAAATTAAATACATTTTATTCTTTCTCACGAAAATGATCTCTTTTAAAGTATTTTATGCAATTAATGTTTAAGTATCAGGTCAGTCAGGGAACATCGATGGAAAGTCATGTGCTCGTTTGAGACTTATATATAATTTTTTTTTTCAGCATGGAAATCGACAAATATGGGTTCTTATCCACCGCCTCCTTCGAATAATTCATTAAGACAACAATCAAGATCAGCTTATGAAGATGGTGATCAAGTATTTCGAGCCTTTGAAACCTATTATACACCTAATGCAGCTTCAAACAATAACACAGCTAAAGGTAGGATTTTTTAAATATATTTTTCTATTAGAAAAAGATAGCTTACATATGCTAAACTAAATTCAAAATTTTACTGCACGATTTTTCATAGTATTTTAAATACTTAGTATTTGAAAAGTTTTGTAGAAAATAACAAGAAAATTAATTTTATGGTTTGTAAGCTATTTTTTTTGCATGTTATCATTATATTGCATTTTATATATCAGTTCTTAGTGAAGTATAATTCTTTCTTGATATGAAGCTTTTTTGCACATAGGCTTATTATTTATCGGGCTATATTCTTGTCGGCTTATTATTTATTGAGCTTATATTCAAATTCGTATTATGTATTTTATATTTACATTTATTCGTCTTATTTAGATGGATGTATGTTTATGTATGTACAGGTGTCCCAGAACTCGATGTTAAGACAAAACGAGATGATAGTATTGATTGTTACCATCACGAAAAATTAATCATCTCATTTAGTTAGAAAATTAAGAGCTTTTAAGTGCAACCCAAATCTTTGGTTACTCAGTGGTCATTTTTTGGTTATTGTGGTTAATTTTTATTATTTTTGATCATTTAAACGTTGGAACGGTAACTGCGAATAACATTTCTAGGACTACAGTCAAAACTAATGACACAATTGCTCAAAGGTTTAATTGTTAAACTAAAAATTTGAAAAAAATCAAATTGATCGAATTTGAAAAAACTTCCCTTAAAACAAATGCGCTAAAGTGTGTTGTAAAGTTACATCAAAAGTTGGCGCATTTAATCAAGACTGTAAAATGGTAAAATACGGGGTAAATTTATAATAATAGAAACAAATAAAACTGTTTATATTAAGAACTATCAAGTATATCATTTCACAATCCTGATTCCGAATCCGCCAATTTTTGATGGCAAACACACTTTAGTACATTTTTTTAAAAGGATTATTTGCCCTCAAAGTCGACGCATTTCGAAAATTTTAAATTCATTGGGCAATATGTTATTATATTTCACTTTGGTTCTAGAAATGTTATTTACAGTTACCTTTTCAACGTTTAAATGAACAAAACTAATATAAATTAACCACAACAACCGAAAAATGGTCAAAGTGTGGCCATAGCTTTGACTTACTTAAAAGCTCACAGTTTTCAATCTATGCGAGATGATTTATTTTTTCATGATAATTACGATCAATACTATCGTCCCGTTTCAGCTTGACACTGAGTTCTGGGATACTTTTTGTATATAGATATATATTATATAAGTGACATCAAGATCATATTCGTATTTTCCACTGCATTAGTTAATTAGTATATATAAAATTGATTGCTGTGTCTCGTTATTTTTAGTTTATCATATTATTATATTAATGTTTTCAATTCAATTCCATTATATATTAGATTTTTCATAAATTTCATTTCATTTCAAACAATTGACATGATTGTGAATAGGCAGAAAAACTCTCCTGAAGAAAAATTTGAGTTTCATAAAAAATATGCTAGATTTGGGGGCGATAGGTTGTGTATGAACTGGTATTTTCGATACTATAAAAAGCAATCTTATTCCTAACTTTGAGACTTTTATACTTACATTTATGGTGCAATTCTACCTCATAACATAGTGTTTTCATGGTGACGCTATCTTATGCTTGTTTCTTGGTAGTGAAACTGTGAAAACGTCTATCTATTTGTTTTGCGATCAGGTGTATTTTACATTTAAGCAATGAAGAATGTTATGACAACTGCATTATCGAAGATCCTGTTATCATAAGATTCTTCTTTGCTTGTTTATATGTAAAAAACGCTGATCGCTCAGCAAATAGACATTTTCACAGTTTTCACTACCAAGAAACAAGCATAAGATAGCGTTGCCATGACAACGTTATGTTATGAGGCAGAATTTCCCCATTAATAAGACTGCTATTGATTAATATTTATCTCCATCTTGCAACAATTTAAATAAATAAACCTTATCATATTTTGTTTATATATAACTTATTCTTTTCATGACGCCTTTCGTGAATCGCGCCAAGCAGCTGTGGATTTAGATATAATCTCCAAGGGTAATTTGTATGTTAATGCAGACCATGCATATAACAAACAACGTTTTGGTCAATTTTTGAATAACCATCATCGCGTTTTTAAAATTAACCCAGCATCTTGTTCTAATAGCACTAACGTTGTGTTCCAACCTTATATTAACACAAATTGTAAAGTAACACCTGCCAGGTTGCCTGCTAATCCTCGTTACTTCAACCTTAACTCGATGTCGGCTTATAACGAATGCAGGACGAATCCTGTACATGTATCTAATCCTTCGTTGAACACACGTGATTCGAAAATTAAAAAAGACAATACACAGAGATCCAATCCTTCTCTTAATGAAATTAAACCTGAATATGGTTTTGCTCAACGGAGACAGAGTTTTAGAAATGAGGCTTATATCACCAAACGCGCGACGTCTTGGTGTTGTGGTTCTTTTGTTAAAAAACAGCTGAAGAAAACTAAACACTATGATTGATAATTTTAGCTAAAATTATTTTAAACGTAACCACAAATTGAGTTTTTTTGCTTCAATAAAATTTGATTTAAAATCGCCCGGAATGTACGTATGATAGCACTTGCCAAAAAAGACTATCGATTTTTTCATGTTTAATAAGGCATTTTAATGCTTATAAGGATAACTAATAAATATTAAAATTGTAATGCGATTTTAACTAAAAGGGACATTGTTCTTACGCATATGAGCCAAATTATTCTTAATTACCTTTAATTATATTTAAAATAAGACCTGAAATATGCTTACTAGAGTAGGTACTTGCCAATCAGCTCCGGAATATATCTAATCTAATATAAATGATATTTATATTTAATCGTTTATGAGGATAATAAGCGTATAAACAACGTATTGTTTGTTGATAAATCTATCTACTTAAATCTCACACATATATGCCAAATTATTCTTGACATTATATTTTTCATGCCATAGTTCACTATCATAAATTGCAAAATTTGTTTTTCTTAAATATAGTTTTTTTTGCATACACATCAGTGGAAATTCAGTGGAATCATTTGGCGTTACCATAGTTTATACCAGGGCTTCTTAAACTTTTGTCACTCGCGACTTCATTTATGATTGCGAGTTTTTTTTTTAACGAACCCACATAAATATAAAAGAGAAATTAATATTTTTATATAATTTATTTTTTTAGGTAACAATATACATATATGCATATGAAAATATGTAGTTTTATAACTTACAAAAATCTAGAGGTGATTTTATTAAATGATATGTATATTTGACATTAAAATTTCTCGCGACCCCATAATTTTTCTATGTGATCTCAAACGGTGTCGTGACCCATGTTTAAGAAGCCATGATTTATACTGATTTTATAATAAATTCTTTAAAATATGATAAATACACCAACGTTATCAATAAGACAAATTGCAATATAATAGATCAGAATAAATTACTGTGAATGAAACATATAATCAGACTTTTGAGATTTGAGACAGAAAAATGATTTAGGGACCAATTCTTGGATAAAATAAGACATAACATAGCGTTGTTCTGGCAACGCTATGTTACGCTTCTGTCTTCATATAAATTTGTAGTAAAAATTGTCAAAATGCTATGTATTTGCTGTGCGATCAGGCGTTTTACATATAAAATCTAACTTCAAATAGGTGTTATCATGATACATAAGAAAGATGCCGTAATGATAACATTCTTTTAAATTTTTGCGAAGGGAGCTCTAGCAGTTTCAGAGATCGAGTGAAAAAAGTAAAAAAAAGCCGTTTGGTCAAGAATGATCATTAGGAATATGCACATGAAATTATCAGTTATTTTTTAGGGACTTTAAGAATAAGTATGAACTATGTTTACATTTCTATGGTGCATCAATGTTCATCTGTATTCTTCTCTAAAATAGCCACACAGCCCAATTGCTTTGAATTTTCAGAAAAAGGGTCTGATCGTGTTTCCATACAGAATTGGCTCCTGCAACTGTAAGACATCGACAAACAAATAATGCGATTCTATTTACATCGGTTTGGACTATATTATCAATAACAAATATTGTTAAATAATTATTTGTTAGTCTATGAAAAAGTGAAAACATTTTTTTGTTCCGAATTTTTGGATAGTGCGGTTATTTGGACTAATTTTTAATTAACATCGTTAGAATGGCTATTCGTTTTTCTTACACTATGCAAAATTTAGTTTTAATCCATATGGTAGAACACATTCAAAAGTAGAAAAAACCTGAGCAAGTACACGCTTGCGCTCATAGAACAGCCGCGTAAGCCGTCTCTCTCTTGCAAAGGCGAGAGAAGCACTGCATAAAAAAATGTCTAAATAAAAAAAAAATTCTTTTTCAAAAATTTCAAAAATCTTTCAAAATCAAAGTTTTCAACAAATTTTAAAGGTTTTTTCAAAAATTTGAATTTTTTTACTAACCACTAGTTAGGTTAGGTTTTATATTTAAAATGCCTGACTGCACAGCAAAAACATAGTATTTTGACAGTTTTTACTACCAATTTATATGAAGAAAGGAGCGTAACATAGCGTTGCCATGCAATTAGGACCCTTAGTCTTTGATGAACAACATCAGAATAAAAATGCTATATTATCTTATAATTTGATTATTAATATAAAAACTTAATAATTTACTTTATTGCATTAGATAATTTATATGAGGAAATTAAAAACCGTGCAATTATTATTAATTATAATAAAGCAAATATGTAACGATAGTCGATCATTTGGAATAATGGACGATTATTTGGAATAATGACAACAAGCACTTTCAAAAGACAAAACTTAGGGTATTAGCTTTCTAGAACAATTTTATTATTGCAATTTGTCTATTTTGTTTCAATTGGAACCCGAGCAGATGTATGCAAAATAAACTAATGAAAAACAATATGTTCTTGAAGAACACTTATCCAAAAGTTATCATCATTTTTCCTAATATTTGCTCATTAATTATTATTAATTCATATTATAATAGCCTGTATATATGTATATAACAAAACTTATTTGCATGCGGTTTTTGTACATAAGTGTTTTGGTTTGTATTACTAGCATTTCGTATTCTATATAGTATTATTTGCTTTATTTTTTATCTAGATTTGAATATAAATATCCATTTATCATTTATTAATAATATTTATAGATCAACACGCACTATAAAATGTAGTTTGGGATTTTTAAAATATTATATTTTCAGAAAATCGAATTATACATAATTATTTAAAATAATACAATCTTAACTAGTTTTGAAAAATCTGTTAATTTTTATAACTACATATTATAATGTGTTATCCTATACAGCTGGTTACCATTTTAATACATAAATTGCCATAATTTTTTGCACTAAATTATTTGCACATATTCACATAATTATCAGATTTTATTTAATTTTATACATTATGGTGTTATAATTAACCCACTAACGTTAACGAATTAATATCATAATAAACGCATTAGTTATTAATTTTTACAGCGTAAAAGTTTTATTAATTTGAAATTGTTAAATTTTATATTATTTCTAAATATTATGGATTTTAGATATAAATCGGTTGTGCTTATATATAACATATATTAAGATCTTTGATATGTATAAGTTATGCATATTATATAAAAAATGACAATAAATTATAATATACAGTTTTGAAATGATATTGTTTAAAACTTTTAACATAAATATTATTCCAGAATATTTTATTATTAATTTTCAATAATGTTTCTCATTGCTGAATAAAACAGAGTACAAAAAAAAAATCAATTTAAATTATGATTTGTAACTAATACATTTTTTGGTACCGGCAGAAATTCTTAGATAAAATTAGCACCTAATATGCTAGATAATCATTATTTAATTTATTATGCCAAAGTTTGTTTTTTTATCCAAAAAATCTCTAAGTAATTGCACAAGAAAAATGATTTTATTTTCGTCAATTCACATTTAATTATGCCTGAAAATAGTGTTAATAATTATTAGTTGTTCATAATTTTCCTAAATGACTGTTTTTATCAATGAATGAATATTGACATATACGAGGTGTGTTCAAAAAGTACCCGGAATTACTAATAATTAAATTTCGCGGGTCTGGAGTGTCTGATTGTCAAAATTTTTTTTTTATTGTGTTGGTATACATGCCCCTAAAGTATGATGAAATTTTCAGCTATATTCACTGTTTACTTTGTCTGTGGTAGTCGCTAAGGTTCGACGTGTTTTTCTGAGCTCGGCGATTTTTACAATGGAAGAATTGAAAAGTCAAAGAATTTGTATTAAATTTTGCGTAAAAAATGAAATAAAGTGTTGCAAAGTGCAAAAATTCACCAGATATGGCTCCGTGTGACTTTTTCCTATTCCCAAAGTTGAAGAGACCCATGAAAGGACGGCGGTTTTCCTCGATTGAAGAAAATCGCTGAGAGTGCTCAAGGACATATCAAAAAGTGAATATCAAGGGTGCTTCGAAAATTGGAAAAAACGCTGGCATAAGTGTATTATATCTGGGGGGGACTACTTTGAAGGGGACCACATTAATGTAGACGAATAAATAAATATTTTTTTGAAAAAACGAAAATTCCGGGTACTTTTTGAACAGACCTCGTAAATAAACAAATACACCAATATAAAGAAAATATATTACAATAGAGTTGGATTCATCATTTTTCTCAAAGGGCATTTCAATATAAAGACCTTATCATTCCTACATACTGTATCTACACAAAACTCGAAGAAACTTATATTTTTTTATTGTATATTCTATTTATTTTGGTATTAGTGGGTATAATATTGTATACTTTAGTTTCTGTATAATTTTGATATGTAGTTCTACAAAATGTCATTCATTTACTTTAGCTTGTTTATATCATCATAGTTACTTTATGTGACTATAATTCTATATAGGAGCCAACTCTCCCGTAAAATAGACTTCTTCATATAAATTTGTAGTAAAAACTATTAAAATGCTGTGTATTTGCTGTGCGATGAGGCGTTTTACACATAAAATCCAAGATCACGTATGTGGTATTATGACACATTAGAAAGATGCAGTTTTGATAACATTTTTTTGGCGTTTGTGCTTTTCCTAGATTATTAAATTATTAATTTTGTCAATTTTTGCTACGAGTTTATATGAAGAAAGTAGAGTAATATAGCGTTGCCATAACAACGCTATGTTAGTGTTTATTTTATAGGAGAATTGGCCTCATAGTTCTTATTTGGGTGATGACATTAATCATTATCAAATGCAATTCATAATTGTATGTAAACATGTATTTGCTTAATCACATATGCATTATTTCATGTATTTTACTTTTCTCATTAAGTATTACAATAAGTTCAATTATTAGTTAAATATATTTAAGTTAGATTTAAAGATTCTCCATAAAGCAGCAGTTACATTGATAAATTACTTGGACTTTTTTTGATTAAAATGATGATTTTATCTAAATCTATAAATAATTCGTGAAAATTTAAAATGAATTTAAATTTTAATAAACTTAATATATCGTAAGAAACACATTTCATAATTTTATAACGTTGCTTGTCGATTAAAAATAATAAATATTATATGCTAGTTATTTTCATACGGTACAATTACAATTATATGTCCAATTGCACATGAGCATTATTCATAGCCTTTCCCTAGTAGTAAAATATTTTATAACCGTTTTTATTGTTATTTATGTAAATTAATCTTTTAACAGTAACTTTTATTTTACTTGCAAAATCAGGTGTTTACAACAGTAAAAGCGAACAACTTAAAATATTTATATTAATTACCTAACTAACTACTTGCTCATTTCAAATTTTGTTTCATGTATCATATAAGTATTAATTTATTTTTGTAAACAGAACTTTCTGAAAATTTTCAAATCGCTTCTTTATATCTTTTTTGAACGCTTTATTATCGTTTATTACTAATCATAAATAAAATTTTTGGAAACTATACAAAAGCTCAAGATGCAACAAGATAGAGCTAAAACCAACATAGGATGTTGATCTCTTTGATAGTTTCAAGCAAATAAGTAACTTATGAAATATAAATTACATAATTGGTGTAATTAAAAAAAAATTCTATCCACCATAAACTCATATGTAACTGCTGAAATAACATTCATTGTACTAACAAAATCTCCACTAACCCATAACTCCCACGTTATGCCCAAAACAGGTGATTCCACAGACTATGTGAACGAAGTCACATTGAAGAGTTTGATGATCGCCGTCAGTCAAATGCAGTCAGAAATGGTCATATTGAAGAAACAGATCCAAGAAGAAAGACAAGCTCGGATTTTATTGCAAAACCAAATTAGGAACCAATTTTTAGCGACTGGACCACTTTTGGACGCGCAAGAAGTTCTAGATGCAGCTAGAGAAACGAAATGCTAGTAATTTCAAGTCAAAATATGATTTATTAGCTATTTCAAAGACTAAGGAACCGATTCTGCCGCATAACAGACAAATATTATGGCAAGGCCATGTTACAGTCCAAGTTCCATACATTATGGTACTGAAACATACTGAATACTGTCAAAATGTCATGTATTTGCTGTGCATTCAGGCGTTTTACACATAAACTGCAACGCCACTCATATGTTATGAAGCAGGGTCAGAAAGACCCTGTTATCTAAGATCGTTTTTTTACATTTGTGCGGTTTCTAGGTTAGGTTTTGACAATCTGAGAAATTCACTTGACTGCTCAACAACCGCATGGCTTTTGTCGATATTTAGAACGAATTTGTATGGAAAATTCTTCATAACATAGCCTTGCTTTAACATTTGTCTGTTATCGGCAGAATCGGTCTTTAAATGATGGTAGCTTAATTTCAAAGTCAAAATATGATTTAAGAGTATAATAGTTTTTTAAAAGTTGATCAATGAGGTGAGTGTAGATAAAAGAATTATCTACATTCATTTTATCGATTTGTGAAGGTGTATGCTAAGAGACTGTTTATGTAATTGTTTAGGCCAACCTATTTTTTTTTAGGTTTTTGTCCATTCTTTAACATTTTAAAATTCTTTTATTGCCAAAATTATTCGTATACAAACTGTTGGATATTGTAATAAATATCTGATAAAGATATAAATATCCGAATTAACAGAGTTTCTAAATTGTATACATTAACAATATCTCTGATTATCAAAATTCCATGGCTTCCAAAATCTGCATACAGTGATCGTGATAAACATTTAGTAAAATAAAAAAATAATATATTATCCTTTTTGATCACCTAAAAAGACCAATGATCAGTTTTAACAAGGAAATATTGCCTAGATAAGTTTTTTTAATAGAAATTCATCCAGTCATTAGAAAGAAAAACTAAATTGTGTCAAAAAAACTTCCTGTCCTTGGGGTCCCAGTTCTACTATTTCTTAGTGGATATCACACAATTTTAAAAAAATATCAGACCACATAAAATGAATAAAAGACTTGATTAATATTCAAGGAAAATAATAATATATCTAATTTTAAAAATTAAACTAGAATTAAATATAATAAACCACCATGCTCAGCTCAGTGGAGTTTATTAATCAAATCTTTTGTTAATTATGTTTGTTTTTTTGTGTCTTCTTAAATATTTTATAATTTGTTCTCTTAAATCCTCTGGTAGAGTTAAACTAGGATTCGAAACATGTGGGAGACTTTCACAATTTTTTAAAAACATAATTTAGTTTTTCTTTCTAGTAATTGTCTGGATGTCTGTTAAAAAGATTTTTTGTTTTTAATTATATATCTTATGACTTCCGATATGATATTATTGATAAAATCAAACCAAACCTTTCTTCCATTTGTTATGAACAATAAACTGTTCTTCCATTTGTTGTTTAAGATAACTCTAAAAACTTGCCTTTTTCACTAATGACGTAAACCAATTGCCAAAATTTTGTGCCTTCAAATGGGACGTAGTTATAAATTTTATGGTCTAATCGAGGCATATACAATTTATTATAAATAAGAATGTACAAAGATGAGATTATTAAGTTTGTCAATTATATAAATTGTATATAGAGAAATATTTCTATACTGAAAATTATTGATAGATATGAACTGATTCCATTCCATTAATTTGTGCAATATAATAAAAGTCATACACGTGATGTAACAAAATTGTATATATCGTCTCTTCATTTAATTGGAATGTGCGTGATTTATGAATTTTTCTACGAATTTTTATATTTGATACAGAACATATTTAATTCTTCTTAATTAATATATACTTTCTTTACTTAAAAGAAATATTTGGAAGGCTTTCAAATTCTCTTAAAAAAATTCTTTAACGAACTGGTTGAAGCTGTGATGTTATATGACCGAACCAATGTAATGAAAATTATTCTAATTCTATAACATTTTGAATAATAAAATCTAATACTCTTATATGTAAAATTCTAAGATAATTCAAATTTGGTAAAATTTGTACTCACAAATAATTAACAACAAAAAATGAATCAAGATGCAGCTTATAGACATTTTTGTTTCAGGCTGTATTTTATAGATTGTTTGCATTAAGACGATTAAAATTGCATTAAATAATCAGCCTAATACCTTCCTGAATACATAAATTTAAGTTGATTCGGCCATATACAATATTATAATGTGTATTATAAATATACTTTTATCTGTATTATTTGAATCGTTCAAAACCCTTGTACCTAGTTATAAAGTACCATTTACTTAATTATAAGTATCTATATTTTTATATAGTCGAAACACGTTTCGTCATTGTACGAGTCACAAAATAAAATATTGCATTTAATATTATATATTAATTTTATATATTACTGTATTTAGAATGAAACTTCATCAATTTCTATTTCGATTTTGGAATATTTATTACTATACTATTTTGCTTGCCAAATCAATAGCGTAATATCTTCAGATGTTGTTCTGCAGATTAAGATTAATTTGCACTTGATATCGAACCATTGATAAATGGTAATTTAGTTGATAAATAGTTCACTATTTACCAACCTGTTGCTTATTGATAGGCTTTTTGTAGACCAAGTATACCGATTGATTACCTATTTGTCTGGTTTTCTAGACGGTTAATAGGAGCTTATTTGGCCTACTTTTTTATTCGATCTGTATTAATATTAGTACACAAGGAGGATATGATTCTAAAAATTGTCTTGTTTAAATAGTTATCTTGATTGATATAGATCACACCTAGGGTTAGTTGCAACAAAACGATGGGAATAGGTGTAATATGCAAGATGGGAATTGTCTGGTATATAGTAAAGATTATATAGATTCGAATGATAATTCAAACTTTTTATTCTTTCTCTCACCTTGTCTTTTTTATTTCTTTTTTCCATCTTTTAGTGATTCTATAAAACGATTTCAAATACATCTTTAAAAAATATTGTACAAAATATAAGTATAATACAAATATGATAAGACAATTATTATTATTATTAAATATCATAAGACAATTATTATTAATTAATTAATATTATTATTACAAATTGAAGTGGAACGCAGGAATTTAAAGCAAATTTGCGAAAATAAAGCTGATATTTTTAAATTCTACTACATTTCTTACAATATCTTATTTTACAATATGGGTAAATTTTTCTAACTTTACTTAAACTTAAAAAAAGATTTTTGAGAATTTAGAATTTTTGAACTTTATTTCAAAGTAATCGCACTGCGAAAATTTGTATCCGAACACACACACACAGGCGCGCACGCGCTCACACACGCACACATATACATAAATCCATTTTTTCTAAAGTATGCCAAAATGTTCAGAAACCTGAAACGTAACGATACATAGAAATTTTCATTTCCATTTTTTTTGCGATTATTATAACTCACCCTACGGGAAGTTAATTAATAATTTTATCAGTCTCTCTCTTACGAAAGCTAAACAAGATACAATGTAAAAAATATTTATTTATATTTCAAATTTATAATCGATATATTGCTACCTAATATTAAGTTAATCAGATTTTTTGCCACTCATTTTCCATGCAGATATTGCCTCTCGTAATTTTTCAATATCCTTGGGAGTTGTCCTACAGCATCCGCCAACAAATTTGCATCCCAATTTAAACCATTGATCAGCATCTTCATCTAGCTCAGGGCATTTGTTTTTATCTTGCCATCTAGATATAATTTTAAAATTTTATGTTTCAAAATAATTAAATATTTGTTAATCAAATATCTATCATACCCTTGCTTTGGTACATATTTCTCTCCACTGTTGGGATACAGGACAAGTGGTATCATTTGATTTCGCTTTTCGTTCAGACTTTTTGCTAATGAGATAACGTTGCGTGGATTTACGCAATTTACACCTACGGCCAATAATTTACCTTTTGTTATTTCCCAACATTTTTCGGCTACTTCATGAAATAATTCTCCATGTGCTAAATGCAATTCATCCTAGAATCGGAAGCAAACTTATTATGTTTTGTGCTCAATATTACATCACAAATGAATATTAGTAACTATTTGACCAATTGTACGTCAAAAGTCGTACCTTGCACTGAAAACTTATCCAGGCCTTTACACCAGGATATTCCTCAGCCAATAATTCAGCTATTGCTTCACCTTCCATCTGAAATTTCATGAGAATAAAATTATATTACCAATCATTACTGCAAAAACAATATTGAACAGTACTCTCAACTAACTTGGCATGGAATAGTTTCGAAAGCCAAGGCATCAATATTGGAATTAACTAATACGTGAACTTGCTGTCTATGGAAGTCTTTCAAGTCCTAAATAAATATATAAATCAGAAATTTAGGTACAATATTTTATGCACAATATCAAATGTTGTTTTACTTTTTTCGTAACACGTTCTGCAAAATCTCCTGTATAATCTGAGCCATCATGTAAATGAGCACCATAAGTGCCTGTTGCTCCCACGACTAATATTTTATTTTTTTCTGTAAATATTTTTATTGGTAGTGAGAACGATGATAGATCATTCATTGTATAGATCAAGAAATTTTTCGAAATCATTAAATTTACCACTATCGCAATCGTCGCTTTCCTGGTATAATTTTATTGCTTTATGGCACAAATTAACACCTTCAATAATTTTTTGCTCTGCTTGTTCCTTTGTCAATTTTTTATGTTCTATGAAACCCTCAATTGTTGATTGATAAGTATTTGTTTTTAATAATTTGGATCCAGCTAAAGTAGAAAAGGAACTATATTGCAAATGAATTATGTTATATTTATTCAATTCAGTACTATAATTTGTTGTAAAAAAGACCATACGTTGTGTGTTTCTGGATTTCACATAGAAAATAGTAAGAAAGATCATCAGATTATTTAAAATATTTATTAAATCAAATCAGTGGACAATATGTGGCGCAAGTGGTAAAAAGCCTCAAAACGTTTCAAGTTTAAATCTTTGGTTTTTGGCAACCTTATA